CCCCAAAACCCCAAAACCCCAAAACCCCAGCTTAGAGCAATTTGGTTGAGAAATTTTGATATAGAATTGGAATTAAGGGTATATGCTTGGTGTCAACACCTTCCTGAAACACTTTATTATCTTAAGATTTTTCATAATCCTATATGATGACTAGGCTAAAATACCTTGAAATCGAATCTCTTCTTCTAGCCTTTTTATGAGAAAGCAAAGCCATGCTTGTTGGAGAGAACTTTAAGGCTCTAAAAATATCTTCCTTGCAGTCTTTGGATGGCATGAATTTGTTATGGATGTATGTATTGTCAAATCAACGTTTTGGAGAAAAGTTATTTTATCTTTGTCAGCCTAGATGTTTGTTTTTCAAACTTACAGCTGAATTTCAGCCTCCAAATCTTGATCAGTGACTACAGATTAACATTTGTTTTACTTTTAAGAGATGGATCATGACGAGGATCAATTTCATCTAATTTTTGACTGTGAAGTACAACAGAATAATTTTTGCCAAGAGATCCAAGTGAGGCCATTTTATTTTTGGGAGCCTCCAATTTTTCTTTTTGGCTTGATTGGCTCCTTGGATTTATTAACCTCTCTTATGATTAAGTCCTTGTTGGGCTTTACAATCTTTGGAGATTCAAATTCAATTTTTGGAAATTGTGGAGAATTACATTTCAAATAATTCTTGACTGAAATCAATGGATCTATTTGAACTTCAAAACTTAAATTATTCCTTGAAAAACAAGCATTATATCGAAGCAAAACTTACTTGCGCCAGTATGAATTTTATTGATGATAAGACCTAGATATGTTAGCTGTATTAATGATTATTAATACCATCTTCTGCCCCAAGTTTCTCATTTCCCTCAAAACTTGAGAAGGGAGTGCCTAATAGAGGGGATAAACTTTTAGCTAAGCCATTCCTTGATTTATTTCGATGAAATAAGCTAAACGTTAATAATACCTTACTTTCCATATTTATTTACTCTTTGGAATCTTCTGACTCGATTCTTTTCAAATTGCCTTGGGTTTTGGAAATTATTCGAATTATTATTCTGATCATTTTTCATGTTATTTGAAATGTAAAGGCAGCTAAGATCTTTAGAAGGCTCTATAAATGATTAAGAGCTTGAAGAACTTTGCTTAGGTTGAGGCGATAATAAAGGTCTTTGAGCATTAAGAATCTTATGATTAATCCACCTTTTCATTATCCTATTCTTATTTTGACTTTCTGATTTAGATTCCTTGGCTCCTTGTCTCTTAACATATTCATCAACTATTTTATAAAACCTCCATTTACATTTTATTTTAAAGTTAGTTTCTTTAAGTATGCTAAAATTTTATATTAAGGCCTACTCTTGTAGCTCATGTTTGTTCATGTCCTGTAATCTCTTCCTCACTTTTCCAAAACTGGTTGCTTTAACGTACAGTTTATCATAACTAGGATAAACTTCATTTTTCAGGATCTAAAATGAGATTTCTTATTACCTTGGCAATAGCCCTAGGATTTTCCTTCAGGTATTCTTGAAAACTTTCATTGTCTCCAAGTCTATCATATTCAATAACTTGTTCTTCTTCCTAAAATTCTTCATATCACGTATCATCACCAATAGTACCAGTAATCGATATGTTAATTCGTACCTTGTTGGAGTGCTTGTATATAAGAGACTCCTTTTTGTTGTTCTTTATAATCATCTTCATCTGTGGGTTCATTTCAAAACGTGGTACTATGAGATCCCAAAAATTACGATATACCTGATGTTAATGAAGAGTCTGTGGTCATACTGTGCTTTTTATTAAGAGCTTGAAACTGGCTTGGTGGAGCAGGAGATTTTGGAGAATTCGAAGAATAAGAAGACTGCAATTGAACCCTAGGCAAAGACTTCTGAGCTAAATAAATGTTAGACCCATGGACAAGAGTTGGGCAACTTAATACTCAATTCTTATTTTTACAATTATTTGCTCGTATCTGAGTCTTTGAGAAAGAAAGCTTTCAAAATTCAAACGATTTATTCTAATAACACTTAAAATTATCGAGAATATGAAGACTTATAAAAGATATTTTCTTCCTATTTATCTCCCTATTAACCTCTAGTATCAACTATTAGGTTTCTTCTGGCTAAAAATATTCCTTACCGTCTTCATAAGAATTGGGAGCAATTACTCCAATTTTATTTGGGCAAATAAAAGCCATTTTCAATTTTTATATAAATTTGAGGGGTTTTGGGGTTTTGGGGTTTTGGGGTTTTGGGG